CATCGGTGCCCAGGGCGAGCTCTCTGCTGACCAAGCAGCTTCGTCTTTCCTGGCCATCCACTCTGAGCTGTCCCTTCCCACCTTCCTGGACTTGACTGCAGAGGGCAGACCCGGGAACCTGATCCAGGAGTAGGAGGATGAGAAGAAAGTGAAGGAGAGCCTGACCCACACAGCTGCCTTATCCAAACCCTTCCATGTACAGTCCACTTCCCCGCTCTGCTGAGGTGACTCGCATGGGTGATGGAAGCTGGGAGAGAAGCCCTTTGGCTCGCTCTCCGGCTAGGGATGAAGGCTGAGTTGTGATCCCTTGCCCTTTAAAATCCTTTCATTTCTGCAGCTCAGAGTGGCCACCCAGCGAGGTCCCTGTTGGCTGGCCCGAGTAGGTCCCGAGAGTCAGCCTGGGGGTGGGTGGTCCGCAGTCATTTAGGTTAGGGTCTCCTGCCTTGTGCAGAACTGCAGGTTCCCAGGAACCACTGAGCTGGGATCCCTGGGCACTGAGAGCTTCGTTCTAGATCCAGGTTTAAGTCCGGCCTTGGGCCTCCCACAAGTGACCTTACGCCTGGAGCCTTGAATTCTGTTTGATGCCATCTAGGGGATCGCTGCTCCAGGGCCAGGCACGGGACCTGGCTGTGCCTCCGTGGCGAGGGACAGAGTCTGCAGAGAGCAGTCCTGCCCTTGGCTTGGGTTGCAGGAGACGGGGAGTGCAACTGGGGGCTGCCCCTCAGCTTGTCCTCTGCGGGGAGATTTCGGCCTCACTGGGGAGGAAGGGACAGATACAGACACAGGATCAGAAATATAATCTCAGCCCAGCCACTGGAGGTCACATGGAGGACAGAGGGCCTGTCCACTTCCGGGTCGAGGGAGGTGGCATGGGCTGCCATGGCTCAGCCCCATGGGCCCCTGTGGGCTGTAGGTGGTAGCAACAGTGGGGCAGGTACAGGGGAGAACAGCAGTGGTTCTCAAACTGGGCTACCCACTAGACTTGATGGAGCCCAACACTGTGGAGGAGGGCTTTGTGGGTATCGTCATCTCTGCCCGATCTGGGGTGATCCAATCCTGGCAGATGCCATCAGGATCTCTGGAGCTCAGGGGATGGTGTACTTCAAAGGTACAACCAAGGAGGAGAAGGTTATTCCAAGTCACAAATGTGACCAACCTGGTGGCACAGATTCCTGCAGCACAGGCTACTGTGGCGGGGGTACGTGCTATAGGCAGCGTTTTCTTGGCCATGTCTGCTCACGCGCTCGGCAGGGGAGGTGGAAGCCGTGGCTCATTAACCCCCGGGAGTGGCACGCCAGCCTTGAGGCTGCGGCACCTGCGTGCCTAGGGGTGGCTCATGTGGGGCACCTGCGTGGCTTCACACCACGGCTGTTGGGCACCTGGTCCCCACCCCCATTCCATTGAGGCTGCATGGGGACATGCTCCCACAGTTCGGGGAATCACCCTGAGATGCTCTCTTGGGGGAATAACCTTGGGGAAGGAGGTAGAGGAACTTGCCCTTCAAGTCAGCATGATCTTGGGAAAGTCATTTCTCTTCTCCACTTCTTTTGTTTTTTTTAAAAAGATGAATCTTCCCTTCCTTCCTGAAGGCAAGGCTGATCAGTACACGAGTTGGGTGGGTCTGAAACTCATGAAATAAACAAATATATGGATTGTGAATTAAGTCTCACCAGCAAGCTGATGACCAAAACCATTAACTTATATAGCTTCCATTCTATGTGTGTGTGTGTGTGTGTGTGTGTGAACGCCCGGCCTCGGCAAGCTCCCACAGTACAAAACATTACCACTAATGACACTGGGTGTCAGCACCCCACTACTTGGCAAGAGCTGAGAGCACCAGCGCCTGCCTCCCCCCGCCAGCCCCAGCCAACCTGCTCTCTGCTGCTGCTTTAAGATTTATTTTTGTTGGAAAGTCAGATTTACAGAGAGGAGGAAACAGAGTCCCCAAGTGACCGCAACAGCCAAAATTGAGCTGATCTGAAGCCAGGAGCCAGGAGCTTCTTTTGGGTCTCTCACATGGGTACCCTCCATTACCTTCCCAGGCCACAAGCAGTGAGCTGAGCTGGATGCTGGAGCAGCCAGGACCTGAACTGATGCCCATATGGGATCCCAGTGCGTGCAAGGTGAGGACTTCAGCCACTAGGCTACTGAGCCGGGACCCAACTCCTTTGAGTTCTACTTTTTAAAGTTCATGTGTCAGTGAGGCCACAGGGTATTCATCTTACCGTGTCTGGCTTGTTTCCCCAGGCAGGTTCATCCATGTGGTTCTAAATGGCAGCATCTCCTTTGATAAGGCCAGGCCTACTCCATCTATCTCTGCGTGCGCGCGCACACACACACACACACACACACACACACACACACACACACACACACACACACACACACACACACACACACACACACACACACACACACACACACACACACACACACACCCCTGTCGCTCACCTGTCGGCAGGCAGGTGCCCAGGCTGTGTCTGGACCTTGGCTGCAGTGAATAGTTGGACTTCAGCACCCTCTCCCGGATGTGCCCACCCTCTCTCTGGCTGCTGGTTGGCACCAATGTTCTCCAGCTGCCCTACTCTTTTCCACAATGGCTTCAAGCAGCATTTGAAGTGACCCAGTGTAACCTGCTCCCCGTCCCTCTCCTCCCAGCGTTTCATGTGTCCAGTCAGAAGCTTCTAGTCCCTGGTGAAAAGCAGGACTTCTCCGTGGCTTGCCTTCCTCTTCACCCTCTATTCCCAGAATGCACTTCACAAGTTGGTAGGCACTTGCTGGGGTTTGGAGCAGGCTCTGGGTTGTACCTCTCCCTCTCAGGACCACAGGGTGGCTGACACTGCTGTGCATGCGTATACGCCCTGGGTGTCTGGGGCAGCCGTGCCCCCTGCCGCCTCCCCTTCTGAATTGTGGCAGCTGGTCACTTCTCATGGACATACACCATCAGGTGGCTTTACCCAGCAGCTTCCATAGTCGCTTTGGAGCCCCCTGCTACACCAAGTTCAGAGTAGGGCTGGCGTTTCTGGGGGCTCTGGGGTGACTCAGCAGCTGCACTGCAGGAGAGGGGTCCTCAGTGGGAGTGGGGACCACCTAGAAGGGCTGGGATAGGGGTCAAGGCTGCTCCACACCTTGCAGTGATTTTCCCAGACTCCCAGTTGTGTGTGTTCCCATCTGATCACCCCCTCTGCAAAGACAGTCCTCAGGCATCCTTTCTGGAAAACCCTTCTTCTCTGACGTCAATCCACACTCGCCTAGTCCATCCCAAAGGGCTGCAGTGAGGGCAGCAGGAAGCCAGGGGACTGCAGGGCCAGCAGTCTGCAAGCCTCCAGGCCTCCAAGTCCCTGGGGAGGCAAAGAGGACAAGGGGGCAGAGGTGAGATCCTGTCCCCAGTCCAGGGCTGGCAGGCGTGGGAACCAGCACCGCATGCAGAAGTGAGCTGGGCCCTGGACTCTGCCAGCAGCAGCGACTCTCATCGAAGTCCTTTGCAAAAATCAATTCCTCCTTCCTGGCCACAGAGCCACTGGCAGCTCTCTGCACCAGCCAGCAGCAGCCAGCTCTGGGGACAGCGTGGTGTACGTCTTTCTGGCCACCAAGAACAGAAATGCTGACAGAAAGTACAGCAAAGCCCGCCAGGCATCGGCTGCTCTCTCTGCCCTCAGCAAGCATCACCCTGTCCACCTCGCCCATGGCACACCGAGACCCCTGCCTGAGGCTAAAGCACTTGCTGTCCCTGCTGCTGGGGTCTGTAGTGCATGCAGAGACTTGGAAAATTCAGCAATACATGGAATGTCAAGTATACTTTGGTGCAAAAAAAGTTTTTTTTTTCCAAGATCCATGCAGTTGTCTTCATCACACGCATTTCCCATGAGCTTTTTGAAGACTCAGTGTATTGGAAGACAGCTCATCTTACTTCTGAAACATTCCAGGGAGCTGCAGCATCATCTAACAAGAAGGCCTGGTGATTCCAATGTTATATGAGCTGAGTGATCCATTATGGCCAGGTCTTTAAAAAGTTGCTGTAAAGCATACGTAACATGAAAATTATTATCTTTACCAGTCCTAAGTGTGCATCTCACTTTGCTGTGTTGGCCAGATTTTTAACTTGGAAGTTCTAAGAGAATATCAGTTAGTAACCACGACACTACTGTTTAAGAGAACTTCAGAGGGTCCATTAAAAAAATTTGTGGGGGGGGGTCAGCATGGTAGCTTAGCAGCTAAAGTCCTTGCCTTGAATGCACCAGGATCCCATCCAGCTCCCTGCTTGTGGCCTGGGAAAGCAGTCGAGGACGGCCCAAAGCTTTGGGACTCTGTACCCGCATGGGAGACTTGGAAGAAGTTCCTGGCTCCTGGCTTCGGATCGGTGCAGCTCTAGCTGTTGCAGTCACTTGGGGAGTGAACCATCTGACAGAAGATCTTCCTCTCTGTATATCTGACTTCACAATAAAAATAAATAAATCTTTAAAAAATTGTTCTCTGTTATTTATTTGACACACACACACGGAAAGATCTCTCATCCACTGGCTTGCTAGCTAAACGCCCAGGACGGCTGGGGCAGGGGGAGGACCAAAGCCAGGAGTCCTATACACCTGGCAGGGATCTAATGGACTGTCCTTGCTGCCTCCCAGGGTGGGTCATCAGCAGGAAGCCGGAGTCTGGAGTTAACAGTCCTGTATGGGACCCAGGCCCCCTGATGGGGGACTTGAGCATTTTAGCTGCCTGGCTGGCTGCTCACAGTAAGATGTGCCACGTTTAGAAGTTTCAATTTACTAGCTGTGTAAGAACTGATAATGAAGTACGTGGCAAGGATTTTCAAAGTACTTAAGAAGAAATCAAATACATTAAATCCATTAGTGTACCAGAGAAGCATTTAAGGGAATTTAATCAAGCGGTTAAAAACACTTAAGTGACTGTAAAATTCCATCAATTTCCAAACAAAATAGCGATGTGCATTTGACACACAATTCATAGAGAACTGGTGTGTCAGATCTGTATGCATAATGAATGGAACACCAATATTTTAAAAACCAAGGGAATCTCTGAACTGATCTTCGCCAAAGGCTTTAAGCACCGAACTCCTTGTGGACAACCTTGTTCCGCAGCCCTCGCTCAGACTGGCTGTGCCCGGGGGACTTCCACAGGTCCCAGGGAACGTGTATTAACACAACGTGCACATACCTCAGAAACTTGCACTAAAATGAAGCTCATCTTTTAATCCCACTTCTGTCTCTGGGCTCAGTGGTTTCCTGACTTCATGGCAGACCCATGATGCAGCATTCAAGTCACCTCTTGGGAAACCGGTTCCCCCTACTGCAGTGTCCGGGTCTGAATCCCAGCTCCCCCTCTGATCCACTCTGCTATCAACACCCATCCTGGAGGCAGCAACGATGGCTCTGGTACCAGGGTCTCTGGATGGAGTTCCAAGCTGCCGGCCCAGTGCCTGCTGTTGCCAGCACTTGTAGAAGAATCAGGGTGTAGGAGCTCTAAGAAAAATGAACATACATGCATTCTTTTTGTTTTTTTCAAATGAAGCCCTTGAAGAGCAGGTTAAAACAAACATCACTGGGTTTCATCCTAGAGTTCCTGACTGGTGTGGGGCCCAAGAATCTGCATTTCTGAGCAGGTCTCAGGTAATGCTGATGCTCCAGGGTCCACACTGCTAGACACCATCAGCTGTTATCGCGAATGTGTGAATCAGAACAGTACTTACCTGTGGGGCTGCCGTGGTGAGCAGAGATGTGTCCAGGTCATGCCTGGTGCCCGGTGAGCTCACAGAACCAGGCCACTGCAGCAACTTCACATAGAGATGGAAGGAAGGGGCTGGCATTGCTAAGCTGCCACCTGCAGTGCCAGCGTCCCATATGAGCATGGGGTCAAGCCCAGCTCTTCTGCTTCTGCTCCCTGTTAATGATGTGCCTGGAAAAGCAGCAGAGCGTGGCCCAAGTAGTTGTGTCCCTGCCACCTGTGCGGGAGGCCCAGATGGAGTTTCCAGCTCCCTGGCTTTGGCCTGGGCCAGTTCTAGTCATTGTGGCCATCTGGGGAGTAAACAGGTGGATGGAATGTCTCTGTCTCTCCCTATCACTGTAACATCTCCAAATATAATAATTTCTAAAAATGGAATTAAAAGTTGATTTGAATGTAAAATTTACAAAGTTGAACCTCACGCATATTTTTTCATAATATGCTTTGGATCTTTTAACATGCAATGAGTATGAATTTTTGGAACCAAAAATGAGCATCTTTTGTGCTCTATGAACTTCCTGAAGTACCCTTGCACGTGCAGTGACACCTAGTGGGCCAGCCTAACATCTTGGGGCCTCTGGTTTCGTTCACCTTGGTGCTCAATAAATGCTGGCGCCAGAGGCCCATCTGCTCTCTGCAGCTGGGCTTCTTATCAGGAGCGACACTCAGGGTCATTGCCAGCAGCTTCCTGGAGCATCTAGTCTAAGGGATCCCTGTGTCTGCTCAAGTGTGGAACTGAAGACGCCAACAGGTGGAGGACAAGTCAGGACACCTCACACGCTGCTGCCACCTCCCTGCTTAGGTCTTGTCCCAGCCGGAAATGCCCAGGTGTGGAACTAAAGATGCCAACAGGTGGTAGACAAGCCAGGCTGACCCTCATGCTGCTGCCGCTTCCCTGAGTGCAGCTCGTCCCAGCCCAGGAAGAAGCACCTGCAGGTGTTGAGGGAGCCGTCTGGCCCCGGGGTGGGCCTGGTAATGGGACAGGGATGGTCAGGCTGGCTCCTGGGAGCTGTGTGCATCGTGGAAAGAACAGCTTGGTCCCCTGGAGCAGAGCCTCTTTGGAGACGGCCTGGTGACTGCTGTCAGGTGGAGCACTCATGTCCCCCGGCTGTGGTGACGTCACACAACGGGCAGGCCAGTGCCTGTCCTGGCTCACCTGGAAGGAGATGTTCTCTTGAGAACATTCCCTGGTGGTGGCTGCTGCTGTGACAACACCATACCCGTAGCCAGGCTGGGCTCTCAGACGGGCATGAGGGGACGCTGTGGCTCCTCTGGCTGCAGCTCCCCAGGCGCATGGGCTCCTGAGCATCTGTGTTGTCACCACAGAATTTCTCCCCAAGGATCCCATGTTTGATTGTAGATGGACAAGCAAAGATCCAAGACCGGGGGAGTGAGAGACTGAGAAAAAGTTACCTTCTTCTCGTACCCGCAGAGCATCATTAAGGCGACTGGAGACCACGTGGCAGAAACACGCATACCCACCAGCCCATGCCTGGAAGCCGGAGGTGGGCATTTCCGGGGTTGTGCTGAAACACAGCCAAGCCCAGGCTTGGAGCTGGGATTTCCACGGTCCTTTGGACTTCCTTCCGTGCCTGCAAAGTGGCTGAACCAAAACCAGCCATCTCAGCCTCGCTTGGTAGGAGTGAGGAAGAGAGAGAGATGACAAAGAAAACAGGTTCTTTTTTTTTTTTCTCTTCAGTGAGAAAACTCTTACCCCATTCCGCAGACACGGCGGACCCTTGCCCAGGCCGGCTGCTGGCACAGTGGGCTAAGTGTACATGACTGCCGCCATGGCTGGGTCATTCATACCCGGAGTGTAGGTGTGCTGCCAGAAGAAAATCTGGGTATGTTCTTACGGAGAAAGGAGGAACAGCTGTGGGATGCAACGTGCACGGCGGCCCCTCCCATGGCCTGTGCTTTTGGCCAAGCAAGTGTCTCCCGAGTGCCTACAAGCCAGTGGCACCACAGGGCCGACGGAGGGAAACGAGCCAGAACTGGGGATGGTCCACACGACCACGCGTCCTCCTCCTGCGGGGGTGCCCCTCCAGGCCTGCAGACAAGGCTGTGAAGGCAGCGGCCAGGCCGACACGCTGTCTGTGGCTGTTCCCGCACCCCAGCCGCGCAGCAGCTATGGCAGAGGTCATCTGGCTAACAGAGCCCGAAACACCCCCTATCTGCTTGCCCCTGGTCAACGGCTGCCTTGTCGTGATAAACACCGTCCCGGAGACAGCACAGAGGGTCTGTCCCTGAGTCTATGGCGCTCTGGCTGGGCGGAGCCACACCCCGTCACTGGGGCCCCACGTCTGGAGCAGCTTGGGGTCAGTGCTGCAAACGGCTCTTTTCTCCTTTCTAAAACTGCCTTTTCTCCCCAACGACAGCATCTTTGAAAACATAATGACAGCGTTCTCAATCCAGTTTAGCAAGTGCCAGCTACAACACAAAATACACAGATAGCAGTGGCCCGATCCCTATGTCTGCTTTTAAAGTGTGTGTAGCATTTGTGGGGGACACACAGGTAAGAGATCAAGATCTAGGGTGGCCAGGGCTGTCACAGGGTTAATCCCAGGATTGTGAGCGCGTGGCAAGGCCCTGCCAGGGAGGAGGATTTGGTGGTGTGGAGTGGAGCCAAGCGGCTCTTGGCAGAGTGCTGGGTGACAACGGGAGGCGGGAGTGGGCAGGCGAGTGGGAGCCTGTCACCCGTGGCTGCTGCAGAGCCTGGTGTGGCTGTGCTGAGGGACTTGCCCCTCACAACAAGGGCTGGGGGAAGCCACCAAGCCAGGGAGAAAGACCAAGTCAACTGAGATAAAGCCTCAGAGGGGATTCACCTACAAGGTAAAGAAACCATGGAGCAGGTGAAGTGGCATAGCACACTCATCTTTCGCCTGCTGCATCGGCATCCCACGTGTCAGTGTAATCCATGTCTCTGCAGAATCTCCAGAAAGTTCACCAAAAAATAAGTGCATAAAGTGAAAAAAAAAAAAAAAAAGAAACATGAATTGCAATTTTGTGTGTGTCCAAAAATAAGCTTATCTTTTAAAACCAAAACTTATTTGAGAGGCAGGCAATCAAACTCTCACCCATTGGTTTACTTTCCAAGTGTCTGCCAACATCTGGGGCCAAGGTCAGGTCAAAGTCAGGACACTGGAATCTGAAACCGACACTCCTGCTTGAGGAGCAGGGACCTTTCCAGAGCCAAGGTTTCTGCCCCACCCCGCCCTGCCCCAGGGTGCTTCAGAGCAGGAAGCTGGAACTGGAAGAGAGGCAGTTCCTTGAACCCTGACATTCTGATGGGATGCAGGGTTTTTACTGCTGTGCCAAATGGTCACCCCCTCAAAACTCTTCCTCCAGTTTCATTTCCCACAAACTTTGTGATGGATCCTGGTGCTTCTTCCATCCTCACAACTTCCGGCCCAGAGGAGGGCAGGTGAAAAGACGACGGCAACAGAAGGTGCTAGAATCAAGAGCCGGCAGCAGTTCCAAACCACAGCCAGGTTCTCAATGGAGCAATAGCGCCCCCCAGGGAGCAATGGCAGTTCTTTCGTCGGGGATGGGGCGGTGGGAAGCAAAAGCATGCGAAAACAACCTGTACCTATGCAGATGTAGTTCCTCTTTGGCATTCTTATGGGTGGTGCTAGTGAGCAACTGAAAGATGGACATGGCCCGTATGCCCACCCACAGCCACCTGGGAAGTCCAGGAGGTGCCAGCTGGTGGCCCCCTCTTTGGCCATCAACAGCAACGAAGGGGCTGATGGTGAACGTCAATACAGGAAGCTGGGCACAAGAGGGTAGGCGCAGGTCAGGGATTTCCAGGGGAACACGTGCTAATGGGTGTGCTCTAGAACTGCAGGTGACGGTGCTGTGCCAATGCACACATACTAAGTGCACGGAAGCTCGGGTCCGCAATGGGAAGTGGAATGCAAATTCCATCTTAATAGGGAACATGACCACACGTCCCTCTTGGGCAGCAGTACAAGGGTGGATCTACGTGTTGCCTCAGACCGCTCAAGGACACTCGCTCCCCTTCTCCCTACCCTCTAGCAGGGCAGAATGAGCTGTCCCTGAGATGCTGCTGGATGGTGCAGGTCTTGAGTCCTGTGCCTGCAGCCCGGTAACCACGCCCCTGCCTGGCATTATGGGAGCAAGAAAGTTCTGCTGTGCTCAAGCCACCCTGTAATTTCTGGGTCTATTTATTACAGAGCTGCCATTATCCTAATGCAAATATTGCTGAACGGCTGGGACACATGGGCCCTGTAATTGTACAGAAGTTCACTCGTTGAGACAGTCTGTGACCTTCAAAGACCCTAAATGTTTAGACCTAAAACAGTGAAGAGAGAAGCCACCCCCAGCCAAGGAACCAGGGAAGAGTGAGGTAGTTGCACAGGGCGCCGATCACGTGGCTGTTCCTGGGGTCCTGCCTGGACGGCAGGATGCTAATGACCCCAGGTGTCCTTTAGTGAGCGTCATCTAGCCGCAGCAGCCTGCGTTTGTGCACACACAGCCCTTGCCCGAAGGGATGCTTTTTCCATTTTTCAAAGTAAAAGACGTGCAGAAGAGTAGGTGTGGGGGCCTGTGAAGTCCAAGGCCTGTTCTGCAGAGCGGGTGGGAGGACAGTAGGCTGGGCCGGAGCCCAGCCAGACACTGCTGGGGTCCGTGCAGTAGGTATGGATGACACGAAGGTGTGAAGAGAACAACTCCCTGCTTGGCAGGGCCTGGGGAGCTTCCAGCTGTTTGGCAGGGCCCGGCGATTCTCTCTGACCACCCTTTGACGCAGTCTCACCCCCTGGTTGCATGGACACTCAAGCACCCCACTAAGAATTCTGCAATCTATTGAGGCATTGTTTGCCCCTGTGAGATGGCTTTGGCAACTACTGTGAGCTTAAGAGTTAATGTTATTGATAATGTCTTAGTGAGTGGGCCTTTAACTGCGCATAGGAGTACAATTAAACCTACAATTAAACCCATGCCATTTCTGGACACCTTATTGTGTGCCTACCCATTGTCCTGAAATCGGGCCCAGGCATATAGCATGCCTTCTGGGAAACGGCTTAACAAGAATCTCACAAACTAATGGAAGTGATGGGAGTATGAGCTGAAACTGCTATGGCAAAAATATAGTTACTGTGACCTTAAAGGTTAACCTGTCCTTGCAACTCTTTAGAGCATAGAAAATGTAGCTGCTTTAGCCGCTTTCATAATCTTTTAACTAGAGGAAATATAGGATGATTCTATTAACATCACAGAGATATACTTTTGATTACTGTTTGATTGCTTATGAGGCGGTAGAGCCTGCAGTCGTAGGGGGATTTAATGTTTGAAACTTTTTGTCTTATATCCTTATCTTTTTTCTCTTTTGATGTATTTCTCCCATTATGTGATAGATAAAGTTGTGAAAATAAAATGTAGTAGGAATGTTTTACTAATTAGTAGGTAACCATCTGTGCCTTGGCCTTGGAGTTCTGGCTGTCACCTAGTAGTCACTTCTGAAGAATGAATAACGGCTTGCTTTAAAGAAACTGACTATAGTAACTTACAGAATTATCTTTAAGAGCACCTGGTTGACCATGAAGTAAAAATTAATTGAACATCTGTGCATGCTGTCTTAGTTCTAAAGTAAAAGATAAAAAAATCAAACGTTTGTGCAGAGGTTTGTGATGTGTCTAAGAAAATAAAAAGGACAGCTTCTTCTTGAAGAAGAAGCAAGCAGGCAGCAAAAACGCAACAAGTGTCTGTGTTCGTGTCTTTCTTTATCGCCGACTCCACGCACCCTTCCCGAGCTCCGAACTCAGCTGGAGCTGGACTCCGGCAAGACACCACACAGTTACACACACACAACTGCAGTCACTGCCACCACCAGCACCACCAGCACCGAGCTTCACCCCACTAACCAGTCATGTGATTGCCAACTCTGCTGTCATCCAGGTCAACACTCTCTCCTTCCTTGCAAAAATGTGTTGGTAATGCATGTCACAGACTCAGGAAAGGCCTCTTCCCTGCTCAGCAAAAGAGGCCTGCCTGCAATGCAGCTCCTGGGCTTGGCACAACGAAAACAAGACCTGAAACAGCATGGCGCACAGCACACTAACAGTGATTCGGCGACAGTACCGGGCACAGGCCCTTTCCATGACCCGGTTCTGCCGTCCAACTGCACTCATAGTAACACTTGCATGTGGCTCTGGCCAAGGTGACAGAGCCAGCCTTTCGGACCCTGACTAGGTGGATGTTGCAAACACCATGCTTGTCAACACTGGTCTGGTGGGGGGCAGGCTGTGTTGGGACTTCCTGGATATGTGTCAGTTGGGGTGTGTGGACCCTGGGGATGGTTAAGCAGAGACCCAGATCTCGTTGAGTCAGGAGGGCATGGTGCACTGTCGGGTTTGGGAAGACAGCACCCTCCGGCAACTGCCTGGTTCTGCCCAGGTCCCCCTTACATGGCACGGATCATCGTCCTGTGGAACCAGCATTCCCAATGGCACCGCGGGCTATGGCAGTCAACAGGAACCAAACCTACTGGAACTTGGTCTTCCTCCAGGCACGAGCAGTAATCGCTGTATATCATATAATCTTCCCAAAAGTCAAAAGGGGCAACCAGAGACACTCAAAACCTCCCCATCCCGCCAGCCCGGCCTGCACTCGGAGGGGGAGCAGCACATGGCGATGCACTGCGCACTCACCAACGGGACGGGAAGGCCAGGAGAGCGCATCTACTGAGGTCAGGACAGGTCGGGGCTTTTGCTCTGAAACGAAATCGGGCAGTCTGTGTGGGAAGATTCTCTGCGTAAGTTTAGTTTATTGATCATTGTACAAAAAGAAAACAAAAAATTGGCATTCATTCGAAAAGAAAGGAAAGCTAAGACCTGTAAATGTTTAATACTTTAACATTGTGAAAGGTCTACTATTATAACAGGGCTTTTTAAAATGGAGAAAACTTTTGGAAAAAAAATTTTAAAAAGAAACTTATGATTTATTAGAGTACAGGATCCAAAACACGTTTTTAGAAAAATATAAAGTGCCCAAATAGCGACGTACACAGGTGATACAGGTTTCCCGGAGCCAGGGGGAGCATTCATGAAGAAACACATTTAAAAACAGTCCAGGTACATATTTACAACTGGGTCAGCAAAGGTAAAACCAGCTTTCTTGCCTTCGATGCGACTCTAAGGGAAACAGAAATCAAATCACAAGACCAACGTGTCTACCTCTGGCATGCTCCCCAATTCCGAGTGGACAACTTCCTGTTCTCAACCTGTCACCTTGAAAGCAGTGTAGTGTCAAGTCCCCTGGCCTCAGCGGGCGAGGGGTGGCGTGGTCCATTCTCAAACTCAAGTCCAAACCCTCTGACTCTGGATTGGAGCGGAGAGGAAGAACTCCTGGAGATTCGAAGGAGCCGGCTGGTCAAACCCCCAACAGCCGTCCCACAACCTTCCCTAGCTAGGAGATGCTCTCGGGGGCTTCCCCAAACCTCCGTCACCGTGGGCTTTCCACGGAGGAATCAGGAAGCAGTCATTCAACAACGGTGTGAGGAAATAGCATGCAGACGGAGAGACGGGTGGGAGGGCGGCGAGGCCAGTGGGCCCAGAAGACCTGGAGCCTCCTTCGCTCGAGTTAACTGTGCTGCGTACTTGAAACGCAGAGTAAAACAACTACCTCCAGAAAGCAGTTTCTACTGGTTAATTACAAGACGAGCTGGCCGGACACCGGCAGTGCGGGTGGCAGGAGCTTGGGAGCAGCACAGAGGACAGCCCGGGAACACCGAGCCCCACCCTTCCCGGGGCCAGGCATGGGCACTGGCAGCTGGGCATGAAGAGCGCACACGCACCTCTGTCCCTGGGCGCCCGCACGCCAGAAACGAAAAACCATCTGTGCGTGTCCACCCCGCCACTTCCAGAGAAGTCTTGAAGTGACTGCGTCATGATGAAGGGTGTGAAAGCTCCTCTTTCAGAAGTTTTTAAGCTTCCTTCTATCTTCTCCTTTTTGTTTTTTTAAATGACAAAAGTGAAATCCCAGACTTCTGGTCTTTGGACACCAGGGGGTAGGATTCTGAGGAGCAAACATTTTTTCATGTCAGATTTCTGTGTTTCACCACAAAAAGAACCCATGGCGGGTTTAATAATGTGCTGCAGCAGATCAAGAACACAAGTAGTCACTTCAAGGGAAGCAAGAGTAGATGAATGTGGAGAACTCCACCCATAAAGGCAATCACCATGCACTCTCTCAAAGGATTCTGTGTAACAGAAAACTAAAGATCTGTAGTGATGTGCATAAACCTAACAGAGGAATTCAGAAGGGAAAACTATTATTCTCCCAGTCTAAAAAAAGGATAAACATTTGAAATGTGTGTTTCACATATTAAAAAAATTAATTCAAATGATTCTAATTATCATTAGTTTGTTAACGTCTTCATCTCCAAGATGTTGCCGAGAAAGCACTCAACCTGTGCCCTGAAGATGCAGCTAACCGGACAGACTGTCCTGTTAGGGACCGTGTGCCCGAGGCCAGAGAGCAGTCACTGCCACTGAATCGGGGACCCAGAGGCCCCGTGTCTGCCCCAAGTGTGCACACAGTCATCCGTCCAGCAAATGAAATGTTCTGAGACAGGTGTAGACAGATGGAGGAATGCCACGTGGATAGAACGGATATGCGGGTGTCAACCGTTGGAGACCTCATGGAGACAGGGTGTCACAAACTGTCACTACAGGACAAGCATACAAGCCATGCCACTGAACACAGTGCCTTTCCCATCAATTCACTAGTGTAGGCCGAGAGCAACATTGTCTTTGCAGCTGGAGGAGAGCACACCTATCTAAACTGAGCAGGAGGCAAGCAGCACTCCTGGCTGAAGTGGCTTTCCCGGTGCCGTGACTCCAGGGGCACTGGAGACGTCCGCTTCCGGAATCCCGTTCTCTGGGAAGATAGCAGCAGCGGCAAAGGGGCAATGTTCTCGAGACTAGACTTTACTCGTCTATGTTCTCCTTCTTCGCACTGTAAATATTCTGCACCGTCTCATAGACAAACTCCAGGTCCTCCGGATACCGAATTTCTAGCTCTGCGTTGGGGATGTAGTGAGTGCCGGTAAACTCTGAGAAATAGCGTCCCACATCTGGGTGTGAGATTTCTTGAGGCTCCACATTATATTCCAGGTTTTCTGTTGGCAAAGAGGCACATGGACATTCTCGTTAACATTTAGCCTGCAGTGGCATGCTGGGTCCAGACGACCGCCCAGCCCCTTTCCAGGTCGTGTTTGTAAGGTAGAAAAGCAGCAAAGACCAAAGATGCTTGTGCAGTCAAGGAGCCGACGGGAAACGGGTGTCGCGCGACCCCCAAGATGGGGTGGGGGGCTGCCTGAGCCTCCCAAGCTCCACATGGAATAGAAGTATTTTCCTATCCTCAGGGCTAGATGCTTGGCCCAAACACAACTTCAATTCTCAGGGACTAACAAAGTGGAGACTCACCAAGCTCTGAAAACAAGATCACAGCTAAGATGCGTTTTGTCTTGGCTGGACCAGTCACTCTGGTCATACTGAGAACAACCTGCCCCACACAAGTGTGTTTCCCACCAGGCTGTTATCTTGCACAGGCCGAGGTAGGCGGCCCCTGTCCCAGGGCTGTGGCGGGAGGTATGAGATGCCTGGGAGGTGGGACTGGTTCCTAGGGGATGGGTTCTACTTGTCCCATCCCCTAGGGAGGCTGTCTATTTGGCCAGTAGAGAAAAGAACAGAAAGTAAGGCAGGAAGGAAATAAGGAGGCAAGGGATTTTAAAGGCCAACACGCTTTCACGTGGTTCACCTCCTCCAAGGGCCTTGAAAGCACAGGGTCTTGGGCACCTTCCCTAGCCCAGGACTGAGTCTGGGACAGAGTGAGAGCAGCCCAACCTTCAGGGCCAGGTGCCAGGAAGGAGCTGACCTGGGCAGACTGCCCCATGGGACCTGTGTCGCCAGGGCTCTGCCTGCCTAACAGGAAGCCAGACTGTGCACAATCTAGTCCTCAAACTAATCCAAGTGAGGCATCATGAAGGCTGTCTGGCCGACACAAACAGTGCAGCACATACTTGCTTAAGCAGTGTGGCTCAATGTCTGCAAGCAGAATCAGGGACCCAGAGGCCCCGTGTCCACCAAGTGTGCACACAGTCACCAGTAGAACTCATTCTCTTTCTCTCCACACACACACATACACAAACTTTTTCCCTTAAATCACAAAAGTCAGGATCTGAACAAATTTCACACTGGGGTGAGTGTTATGCTCTAGCTGCGTGGGCTCCCGCCACCAGTGTGGGACACGAGGACGGTATTCCTGGCTTCAGCACGGCCTGGACCTAGCTATGCAGTGATCTGGAGAGTGGAACAGCAGATGAAGTACAGTCTCTCTATCTGTCTTGTTCTGCCTTTCCAACACAGTTTTTAAAAACCTACAGGCATGCGGGCAGATGTGGGAACACCATGGACCAAACCCCCTGTGCTGAAGGAATGGCGGCAGCACCTGTCGCTAAAGGCATGAAAACCCATGTGGGCCACTCTGAGCACCTGCTTTGCAGCCATGAGGCTTGAGCTGTGGCTCTCACCCAGACAGCCTGAAAGCGACATCTGGCAACATCAGAGGATATTATGTTGTCATAGCTGGAAGCTGTTGCTGCACGCAGTGGGCAGCGGCCAGACATGCAGACACAATGAATCACCCAGAACCAGCACTGATGGTGTCCAGGCCCAGACACTCTGTTTCCCTACCCTCTGCCCCTTCTTTCTCTTCAAAAGCAGTAAATGGGTGCTGGTCTGGCTAGTAGCTTTGGTGTGATACACAATGCAAAGCGTCAAACTCAGGTCATCGTTGTAGGCATGTCACAACACGACTGGGTAGCTCTCAGTACAGCATAGGAAGTCCAGGCAGGAATGCTGGGAAATCAGCTAGCCAGGTGAAGAGTCCAGGAGAGTGCCCACAGCCCCGCCACTGGCTGGCAGAGGGGGACCAGACCTGAACAGCACTTAGGCTTTCAGTCTGCTCAGGAGTTAAACAGGAGGCAGGCACTGCGTTGTAGTGGGCAAAGCTGCTACCTACAATGCCCACATCCCACGTGAGCACTGATTCGAGTCCCAGCTGCTGTACTTTTGATTCAGCTCCCTGTTGATGGTCTTGGAAAAGCAGCAGCAGATGACCTAAGAATTTGGAACTCTGCAACCACATGGAGACTTGGAGGGAATTCCTGGGTTTGCCTGGCCCAGTCTTGGCCATTGTGGCCATGTGGGGGTGAACCAGCAGATGGAAGAACCTGGGTAACTTTCTCTTTCTCTGTAACCCTTTAAGATAGATAGATAAATAGATAGACAGATAGATAGATAGATCTTTAAAAAACAAGAGGAGGGCCTGGTGTGGTAGCCTAGTGGCTGAAGTCCTTGCCTTGCACACTCAGGATCCCATATGGGTGCCAGTTCGTGCCCAGGCAGCCCCACTTCCCATCTAGCTCCCTGCTTCTGGCCTGGGAAAGCAGTGGAGGATGGCCCAAAGCCTTGGGACCCTGCATCCGCGTGGGAGACCTGGAAGAAGCTCCTGGCTTTGGATCAGCTCTGCTCCAGCCATGGCAGTCACTTGGGAGTGAATCATTGCAAGGAAGATCTTCCTCTCTGTATATCTGATTTTCCAATAAAAAGAAATCTTAAAAAAAAAAAACAAGAAAGAAAAAAAAACAGTTAGCTAGAAAGGAGTGAAAAGAAGATTTTAAAGAAGATAATGAAGTTGGGCATGTGTGGACTGTGAAGGGACACAGCCATCAGCCCACTGAATAAGGCTCCCAAGAAGTTGAGGACACATGAGAAATGTGACGAGGAACAGGAACCAAAGGCTGTTGAGTTCTGGGCAATCTGGCTGAATGCGCTTCGAGGGGAGGGCGTGGGCAGCACGGCCAGTTGGGAGCAGGAAGAACACTGGATTTGTGGCACCCACACCACCCTGAGTGCACCCCATTTCTCTGCTGTCTGGAGCGAGAGCATCCAGGCTGCCCTCTGTGACGGCCACCCCCTCGTACTGAGCTCAGCACAGGATCCTCTCATCCCTCATGCACAGGTGGACGGCCTGGGATGGTCTGTAGGGCAAGAATTTAGTTTGGAAGTGTAAGATAAACTCTGGAAAACAGTGCTAACATTTGGGCAGTGCATACCTGGACCAGGCAATCTACACTAAACACACATATTTAAGAATGAGATTTTCAGTTGTCCACTGAATCCCTGTCTTCCCAAAGGACTAAAATCCAGTCATTTTCCATGTAATGGGAAATTATGACAGTCATCCTGAGAATGGGAGCTACTTTACTGCCAGAGCCAAGGAGATCATCAGGTGCTGATGGAAACATGCACTCATTCGGGCTGCGCCGTCAGTTAGGAGCTAAACAAACTGGTTAAGGTACTTGCTTCCCACACTGCAGTGCCTGGGTTCAGCAGTGGACTCCTGACTCCAGCTTCCTGCTAACGTAGCCCACGGGAGGCAGGTGATGGTCAAGTACCTGGCTTGCTGTCCCCTGTGGGAGCCTTAGCTGTCAGCCTCAGTCTGAGCAGGCCACTTCTTACAGGCATGTGGGGAGTGAACCAGCAGATAGCACCTTTGTCTCTCGCCTCTCAACGAAACAAACAATTACACATATGCAAGAAATTACTAGGTGAAACCTAACAGATCAAGGAAAGAACTCTCAGGCAGACTGAACTGTATGAAGACGGCATATGGCACGTGGTTTATAGGTCACTCTTCAGCTTTGGGGAGCGCTAATGACTAAAAAGGCATTATTAACAGATTCAAATCAGGTTAACAAAATCATGGAAACAATGGATGCAAATTTAGATCAAGAAAAAGTTTAAAGCCACTGGCTAGATGTCAGCCAACTTGGTAATAAGGCTGTTCCAAATAGTAACACAATAAATAAAAATCCAGTGGACAAGGAGGAGAAGCAGAAGGGAAGGACAAAACAGCTCTTGCTTACAGAAACAGAGTAACAGCAGCACAAAGTCACCATTCTGCAGTCTCACATAAAAGATCTAGGCAAAAACATTCAATGGAATATTCACAGGATCTCACGTATAATCCCATGGGTCGCATGTCTACAGCGAAGGGAGAAGTGTGCCTTTGCGAGTCTCCATCCCGGTCAAGGACCAAGCTCGTCACTCTCAACAGGGGAACATGGAACACCACGGCCCTGCACCTGACACTGAGCATCCTTGACAGAAAGCCCAACTCTGACAGAATCTAACTGATCCATCAGACCTCCAGTTACAGACCACACAGTGATAAGGAAACAAACGCAAATCCAGAATGCCGGCTGAGTTCCAAGAGGCAGTCAGTCATACGAAAGGGGGAAAGCACAGAATGGGAACTGTGTCACAGGCTAGAGAGAAAGAAGCATCTACTGTTGTGGCCAAGTCCTGTCTGGTCCTGGCAACCAAAGCCAAGCCAAGCAGACACCAAGACCAGCTTCATTCGGTGGGTGTGGCTGTGCAGCCAGGGCAAGGAAAGGGAGAGAACTGCTTCCACTTCAGACAACATGTGACTGAGTATTTACGTTACGACCTGTGACATTTTCCAAATGCTGCAGCCACAGACTAAATGGTCACTGAGTAAATTACATAAAGAGAGCGTTCAATGTTGCATGGACAGGTGGGTGGGTGAGGAACTCAGTGTGTTTTAACTGCGTCACCTGTTTGGAAATGCTCGTAATCCAAGATACAATGAACAACTAACTGGCTTCCCACCCACTACACCCTCTCCCTCCATCTCCCTGCTCTGCACTTGTGTTCTCTCTCCAAGACAGGGACTCCTCGCCCCCAGGAAATGTCAGATGACAGAGAGGAGGTGTGAGGAGGGTCCCCACACCAGGCAGATGGCCTGAATTACCATGCGAAAGTCACCCCCACCCCCTGAAGCTGAAGCAGGGAGCTGACCCAGACTCAAGCTGGGAAGTCTCTGGGATCCTGCTGAGCAAGGGGTCAGGCCTGACAGTGGATGCCACAGGAATGGCAATAGGACAGGAGAGGTGGGTTTTCCATCTAGCTGGGTACACAATGAACGCATATAGACGGAGAGGGAACAGGTGGCCCCAATTGGGACTGTTCAGTAAGAAGGGACATGCAGGGGCAGGCTGGGGTGTGGGTAGCACCAGGAATTCAGGGGGAACAACATTTGAGACTCCTGAGTGCAGATACCAGCAGCTGAACGGGAGGTGCACCTGGAGTCCACACAAGAGCTGTAAGAGGAAATGGAGTTTTTTTTAAAAAAAAAAAAAACACTATTTTTATCTTACTTGGAAGGCACAGACACAGAGAAAGATGAAGAGATCTTTTGTCTGCTGTTGTACTCCCCAGATGCCCTAGCGAGGCTGGGCCACCAACGCCAGGAGCCGAGAAGCTGGGATTTGAACCAGGAATGTGGGCAACCCAAGCAACAACTTAGCCACCGAGCCAAACTCTCATCCTGGAAACAGACCTCTGAGTGTCATCAGCATCTAAACGCCTGATGACGCTGTGAGAATAAAAGAGATAGCCAGAAGAGGACCCCAGAGCTGCGAGGACCCCCACACCCTGCCTGGGGCCCACGGAGCTGCCAGCAGGGCAGAGGGAGAACCTGCAGAGACAGCGGTCATCTAGTTCTCTCCAGCTTTGAGATCCTGCATTCCCTCAGAGGCGTGGCAGCAGGACACGGGTCCCCTCTCGCTGCTCGCCTGCCTGACAAGATCACACACACTCCTGGTTCTGCACCTGCAGCGCAGACACACTCAGAAGCCCACAACCCAATACTCACTGTCAACTACTTTTTAAAGCCCAATTTAAAATCAACATCAATGTTCCCGGAACCTACAAAATCAAATATTCTCAAAGTCTTGGCTCCGACCTATCCACCGACGCCGACTACATGTGACGCCACGGGTGTGGACAGCACCAACCTCCACGTTCCTGTCCACAGTGCGGGCTGCGCAGTGTGAAGGCGCTCCCGGGTGCTGTCACGGTGCAAATGCCTGGCAAAGCACACACCATTTCTACACCACTGGCTGATCTTCAGAAACTGCTGGGGGGACTGACTCAACAAAGGCTGGAAGGGAAGCCTGAGCACGACACAGGGAGCTTGTCAGCCCCTCATGCCTTCTCCCCGGCACGGACGGAGGTAGGACAGGGGCAGGCCGGCAGTCTCAGGGAACAGAGGTCTCTTCACAGTTTGTTTCAGGAGGGTCTTCTCCCAGCTTCTGACGGAATCACAACACTTCATGTAAAAGCTCTTCCCAGCTTTGAGCCCTCTGAGACTTTGACATCAGCACTGATTAGACACATCAGAACAAGGCCCTCTGCCAAGCTACCTGCTATTACACTCACACTCAGGCGTTCCGGTCTGCTCACTGCTAAGATGATACGGATTCATCTCAAGTGGATTCACCAATTCAAATTCCAGCTGTCACACAGTAACCACCTCTGGCATTTGTGTCTGCTTGCCTTCACAGACATTAAATAAACACTCTATTAAGTGGAGGACAAATTCAACAGTAACAAATAAATGGGAGGATTCACGCTTGCTGTCTGGAACCTGCCCCACCAGCTCCATCAGCCACCAGCCACCAGCTCAGCTATGTAATGGGAGAGCACCTGCCAGGGTGGACAGTGGCTTCAGAATCCCCACCAAAGTCAATCAAAAACATGGTCACCCTCTTAGGTGCCCTGAGCATCAGTGCTGTCGACTGAAGTTCCCATAACTGGCCACACGGGGGTGCCACCGGGACAGCATAGCTGGAAGCTGGTCTCCAAGACCTGAGGGATATAGGGGAGCCCCCAGTGCCTTAAGTGGTGGCCTCTAATCCTAGCAGGCAGTGTGGGCGGGGCACAGGCAGTGACCAATCAGAACAGAGATCAGCAAAAGCACTGGACTAGGGTTCTGGCTGTGAGAGTAGAGTGTGAGAGCATCTGTGCTCACACCCAGAGCAGCTGTGTGTTTTGTTGGTTATCTACAAGGTATCCAAATGTCATTAAAAGCCCGAGGCCAGGGCCCTGCGCAGTGGCACAAGTGGTTAAAGGTCCTCGCCTTGCACGCCCGGGATCCCATATGGGCACCGGTTCTAATCCCAGCAGCCCCGCTTCCCTTCCAGCTCCCTGCCTGTGGCCTGGAAAAGCAGTCGAGGACGGCCCAAAGCTTTGGGACCCTGCACCCGCGTGGGAGACCCGGAAGAGGCTCCTGGCTTCGGATCGGCATAGTATCGGCCGTTGTGCTCACTTGGGGAGTGAATCATCAGACGGAAGATCTTCCTCTCTGTCTCTCCTCTCTGTATATCTGCCTTTCCAATGAAAAAAATAATAAAAAATAAATCTTTAAAAAAGCCCGAGGCCCTTTACTTACCTTGGGCTGCGTATCTACAGGAACCATCCTCCACCAGCACGTTATAGAAGGGCTGGTGGTGCCCATGAGGAAGGCTGTGGACGTTCATGTTCCGGATCCACTCGTGTCCCATCATGCAGGTGGGGTCCCAGCCGTAGATGACACAGTTATAGCCGTACCTAACGGACAGCAGAGGAATGGCCAGTCAGAACTGGGGAGCCTGCAGAGATGAGGCCGCGGCTTCTCCGAAGCCGTGCCGGTATGCAGACTTACCTGCTTCTGCTCTAGGCTGCTCACTCTGCAGAACAGCCCTGTTTCCTTAGAGATCCCTGCTCATGTCAACACAGAACTTCACCAAGGGAAGAACAAGCTTCTCAAGAGAGCTGGCACGGCGGCGGGGTGCGCCAAGGGCCGAGGAGCCAGGCCTGGGCTGACTACAGCAGGCCAGAGCCACATCTCAGCAGAACAGAGACCTGCACAGAAAATGCAGGACTTCCAAGCTAGGCAGCATCTCCCAGACACGGAAGGACGCCTGCACCAAACCGCTAGTGTACGGCTCTCACAGGACAGGGGGGCTAAAGGACCCTGTCTCCAACAGACTTAAAAAGGACAATTATGAAATATGAACTGGCCAGTTGTTTGATGAGGTTAAGGGGCTTTTTTTTTTTTACAGAAGATAACAGGATGGTAAATATCATTGAAGAGACAGAGAGCTGAACCTTTCAGACACCTATGGAAACAGCACAGCTGAAAGGACATTTGGTACTCGCTTCGGCGAGCGCAGGGAGGAGGGGGTGAGGACTGCAGAGAGGATGCACAGGGAGCCAGAGCACCTGCTGCAGCCACACGGCAGGGCAGCCCCTGGGCTCACCACTCACCTCCCCCTGCTCTCAGGTTGCCTCAAAGTCCCCAAAACCAAAAAAACAAACAAAAAAAGGAACGAAAGAATGAGCAACACTAGCTCCAAGCTGGAAAAAGACATGTCTACCTGCAACAACACACACAGGCTCACGGAAGACTGGTCAGTTAGTTGAAGTGCACGCAGAGTCAGAGAGGCGTGCCGAAGGGGAGTGTGTGCTAGGAACACCTGCCCTCCAACTGCTTAAGCATCAGGGAAGTGGAAATGGAAACGACACTGAAACACCATCTGCCCCGAGTCCCCGAGAAAGGCTTTGGCGATAACACTGGCAGGGGACCGTTGTACCCAGCCTGCTGGTAACTGACCAATCACCAGGGACAGAGCCATATGCTGCCTGGTGAACACAGCTCACATGTCCACAGGACCCCACATCCTCCACCCACAACTCAGGTTCAAAGACAGTGAGAGCAGAGGAGAAAACAATGGAGACACGAGAGAGCGCTCGCTGCTGACGGCCGCTCCCATCCATCCACACAGGCAAGGCGACTTCTCCGTAGACGCAGAGGACCTCACAGTCATGAGGCTAGAGACGCGGGCCTCCTCAGCTTCAGCTGGCCTACACGCGTACTCGGTAAGTGGGTGGTCACGGAGGCCACCTGCTGCAGGAACCAGGTCCTCCTCCGACAGCTCACGGGTGCTGCCCTGTAGGGCCGCTGCTGCAGCCATGGACTTACCTCTTGTGCTTCATAATGAGCCCGATGGAGTAGCAGACATCCCTGTGCTTCTCATCGGAGCGCAGCTTAACCTCCACGCCTACCTCCTCCTTCTTGCGCTCAATGTGCTCCAGGGTATGCTGTACCAGATAGCCCACCGCCCCGTGCTGCCCAGGGTCGAGGGTTTGAATGTGCTGGAGGATGTCAAGCACCTTCAAGACAAGACAGAAAGACTAGGAGATAATATTTTCAGCTAGGCCTTTTCTTTTTCGCAGCACAGGATCTAGGCCTACCTACATAACCTCACGAGGACGGCAAGGGGCGGCCAGGCCCTGCCGGCCTGGGGCTGAGTGGCCCTCTCCTGAGCTGTGCACCCCCAGAGCTGAGCTCCCTTCTGATGGAGGGTGCTGGCCCGGGGTATCACGGCTCACCATGTGAATGAGGGATGACCAAGCAGTGTGGTGGGGCATGGGGATTCAGAACTCAGCTGGGCAGGGGCAGAGACCCCATGTATGCAGAACCAGTATCTCCACTGGCCCACTGTTTCCCTGGACACAGCGCCTCCACAGAAACACAGGAATTCATGTTCAAGGAGCACACCTAGGATGTGGACAGCCCTTGGCAGGTGGTCTCTGACAAGGTTTCTAATTGACTGAGTCCCAGGTTCTAGGCTGCTCTGTGGCCAAAGGCCCAGATTCCAACCACACATCTGTCAAACCAGCCTGTGAGCATGGAGGGAAGGGCAGGGGCCATGGGGACAGGGTGGGCAATGTGTGTGGGAGGTGCAGCCTTGCAGGGCCCAAGAGAAGACAAGCAGCAAAGAAAAGCGCCTACTGCAGCCCCGACAGAACAGCCTAATCTCAGGCCTCCTCAGCCAGAACAGTGCTGTGGAGGAGGAACAGGGGAGAGCACCCCTTTCCAGGGATGCAACAAGGAGCGGCCCGGCACAGGGAACGGGTGGCAGCAGTGCAGGGAGCAGAGAGGGAGGGTGGCTGTGGGCAAACACTGACAAGTCAACACCAAGCTTTCCTCCCAAGGGTAGGAGGCTTGCCTCAGAAAGCTGGAAGGGCCCCATTTCCAGGCAAATGCAGAGGGTCATTGTGGATCTGAGCAGGGTGGGCTGGCAGCGTGGGTGGGGGGGGGCTGCGTGACAGCTTCATCATAATCCATCTGGCCTTAGCCATGACCCCAACAGGAACAGGTTCTGGGACCACTGGAGCTGGTGAACTCCTGGCTCCCTCAACACATGAGCAGGAAAGAGAAAGACTGCTGTGACAGCTGCTCAGGGTCTCCATTTCGATATTGAGGAAATGGAAAGTAACAGTCCTCTAAGGGCTACTGTGGAGCAGCGAGAGAAGTGTCATGTCTGTGACTTTAAAACTGACCAGGCCATGCTATTTCTATCACTACCACAAAACCCTGCATTCCTGTGACAGCGATACCAAGGGTGCCTGCACTGGTTCTTTGCTCCTCCTGACTAATTCAGTGGGAGAAGAAAGGAACTCTCCAGGCTTCCCAGCTCAGGGATGATGCCCTTAGTGGACAAGGTCAAGGCCCTCTAAAAGCCTTACCTACCACACATGCAAGTGCATAGACGTAAACACCCGTGCACACTCACTTGCATCTGTCTCTCTGACCTCTGCAGTTAGCCCATCTTCTACACTCTGAAGTTATTTTGCATCCTCCAAGGCCTACCTGAGCCCTTCCTCTGGTCAGAAACCTTGTCTAACGATGGGGCAGCACCCTCTGGTTCATCCTGACTGGGGGTCCGAGGCTCCCCCGCTGTGCTGGGCTGTCCCTCAGCCAGACCCTCTCTTTGTAAATGGGGGTTGCTGGATGCACAGGAATGAGCTCTACAAGAGGGGCCCTCTGAGCATCTGACCCCAGGGGCAAATGCCTTGAAGAAAGCCACTCCATGTGCAACCTGCTTTGGTGACACGTGTGTGACTGCTCTCGGGGTACCATCCCTGGGAGAACCCTGGAATGAGTCAGCAGGGCAGGAGGGGAGGAGGGTGCCGCTTCTGAGTCTCTGCAGCAGCTGCACTCAGAGAGCCCTGCTCTGCTCCGCTTTACAAGCTGGCCTAAGGTTCCTCAACAAAGTAAAGTAAGTAGTGAGGAATCAGGCACAAAGCAAGAAGGAAGTGAGGGATCATCTGACCGACCCCTGGCTCAGGGTTGTGGGAGAGACAGCGCTTCTTCATCCAGGAACTAGGAATTCTCCCCACTGCTGGGTCTTCCCCTAGGACTGCTCTGGGTCTTTGAAGCTGTGAAGTAATAAGGCAGATCTCAGGAATGTGGCGTCACAATGTTCTTTCTTGGTGGAAAGATTTCATCAGTCCCTAAACCACGGGGAGCTGAGATGATGCGACATCCTTGTTAAAGCTTTCTAGACAGAGCAGATCACTACTGTGTGTCGGGCACACCCCCTCCTGGACGTGAGACTGTCAAGTGCACGGTGTGCTCGGAGCAGCTCTAGTGGCATTCTGCAGCCTTCAGGAAATGCTGGCTGCTGAAAAAGAACATTTTTAAAGCTAAGCAAATTTGGGGCCGGCACCGTGGTGCAGTAAGCTAAACCTCTGTCCGTTACCAGCATCCCACATGCGTGCTGGTTCATGTCCCAGCTGCTTCACTTTCAAACCTGCTTCCTGCTTACAGCCTGGGAAAGCAGCAGAGAACAGCTCAAGACTTTGAGTCCCTACACCTGCATGGGAGACCCAGAAGAAACCTCAGGCTCCTGGCTTCCGACAGGCTCAGCTATAGCCATGGCTGTCATTTGAGGAATGAAGTGGTGGATGAAAAACCTCTGTCTCTACTCTCTGTAACTCTGCCTTTCAAATAAAAATAAATAAATCTTTTTTTTTTTTTTTTAAATGAAGCAAGTTCGAGTGCAACATGATCAGAATTCAATGGTTTTGAGTTGATTTTAGCCCCAGTGACTGGACTTCCAGGAATTCAGGTCTGTTTTCCTAGGTCAATGGGAGCATTTAGGACTGGCAGGTTTTGATGCCAACATATGGCTGGAGCCTGGGCAGTAACAGCATGTCCCTTGCTGTCCTCGTTGGGGCCCTGGGAGTGAGTGGCAAGGCAGAAGTCTTTCGATCTCAGGTGTTGGAGGGACAGAGCACAGAGAAGAGGCAATGCTTGGCAGTGGAAGCAATTTTACTTAGAAGGCAGAAAAATATAATCGGCCGTGAAGACTGGGAGACTCTGAATACGTCTGCACGCAATCCGCTTGGGGATGCAGGGATGGACTTGTAAGAGCCGCCTTTCAACTTGTTTCCCTGTCTAACGCAAGGGCGAAAACATCAAAGTCAAATAATTACCTTCTCTGGCCAGATCCCCAGGTGGAAGTAGAGCCTGGCCTGGAGGAGCAGCAGCTGCACCTGGTCCGGATACATCGCCAGATACAGGTCCAGGGAGTCTCTCAGGAGCTGGTACGACTGGTCAATGCCCTCCCTGGCAGAGAAAAGCACCTTGTTATCCTGCTGCTTGTTAACAAGGACCCTCGTTTTACACATAACTTACACACATCCCAGACAATTTTCATTCTGGTATCCCCTTTGCTCAGCAAACAGTTAACAATGTTCCTAACAAAATACACAATAAGTGTAAATCTGTATCCCATTTTGATCATGAACATTAAATTAAAATTCTAGGTGTTTTCATTAAGTAGTCACCTCGGTAACACTGTAAAAATTAAAACCATAATTTTGGGGGCCAGTGTTGTGGCACAGTGGGTTAACCCAATTCTGTGACCCCAGCATCCCCTCTTGAAGCACCAACTCCAGTCCTTGCTCCTCCTCTTCCACGTCAGCTCCCTATGAACGTGCCTGCGGAGACAGTGGAAGATGGCCCTTGCCGCCCAAGCAGCAGACACAGATGAGTTCCTGGCTCCTGGCTTTGACTTGGCACAGATCTAGCTGTTGCGTTTTAAATAAATAGATAAACTGTAAAGTCTTCTGTTTTAGACAGAGACGAATTTCAGGGACAGTGAAGCTATCATGAATGGTACATATGTCCAAACACATCAAAAGGACAGCACCAGGAAGGACACTTAGCAGAGACCGTGGACTCAAGCTGATCCCGCCACACAAGCACGGTCCCCTGACCACAGAGCTGCATCACTTTGCTGTGGACTGGCCAGAGAAGACAGACTGGGCATGTGTGGGACAGCAGTAACGGGACTCTGTACTTTCCGTTCAAGTCTGCACTCAAGCCAAAACTGCTCTCAACAGCAGGCTGGAAAACTATTACTATCATACACCAACTACAGCTTCCAATCTTTCCTGTCGGGTACATCTGCCTGGATTCAGAAGAGACTGTTTAATACTTCTGTTCTCTTATCTAAGAGACAGGAAAGCACAAATTAAGTGATAGCAAAAGGATCATGAGGACATCCTGCCTCTGAAAAGCGACATAAGATATTCCTGCCAATGAAAAATGCCTCTCCAAGTCTGCTGGGAAGACCTCAAGGTCTTGGGGCACATCTCACCTGCAGCTTTGTGTCAGGGGAGGTGTGCACTAGCCTTGCAGGCGGACAGCTGCACACACTGCACCTACTTCTTAAAAAAAAAAAATTGAGGGCCCGGCGCGGTGGCGCAGTGGTTAAGGTCCTTGCCTTGCACGCCCGGGATCCCATATGGGCGCCGGTTCTATCCTGGCGGCCCCGCTTCCCTTCCAGCTCCCTGCCTGTGGCCTGGGAAAGCAGTCAAGGACGGCCCAAAGCTTTGGGACCCTACACCCGCGTGGGAGATCCGGAAGAGGCTCCTGGCTTCGGATCGGCATAGCATCAGCCGTTGCGCTCACTTGGGGAGTGAATCATCGGACGGAAGATCTTCCTCTCTGTCTCTCCTCTCTGTATATCCGCCTTTCCAATAAAAAAATAATAAAAAATAAATCTTTTTTTAAAAAAAATTGAGACAAATTTATTTGAAACAGCTACAGAAAGAGGAAGGGACCAGGAGAGAGAGAGGTCTTCCACCTGCTGGTTCGTCATCCCCAGGTGACTGCCAACTTCTGGGACAGGGCAAAGCCAGGAGCCTCATCTAGGTCTTCCAAGTAGGTCTCAGTACGCCAAGCATTTGGGCCATCTTCTGTTTTTCCCAGGCCATTACCAGGGAGCAGGATAAGACATGAAGCAGCTAGAACTTGAACTGGCACCCGTAGGGGATGTCTGCGTCACAGTGGTGGCCTTGCCTGTCACACCACAAGGCTGGCCCCGTCCCCACTGCCTTGCAGTGCCACAGGGGCGCTCATCATATAAAGCTCTCTGGGAGGCAAGGCAAGCCTCTACACACACTCTGTGAAAGCCCAGAAAACCTTACCGCTTGCCCAGGCTGAGCAGGTTCCCCACCATCCGCTGCAACACCTTCTTCACGTTGACCACGCCATACAGTGCTGCAGTCACGTGCTGGCCGATCAAGTATTCACATTCTTTCACCGTCAACTGCTTGCCTTTCCCAAAGGCATCAATGTAGATGTAGTCAAAGATGTCCAGCGTTGCCCTGCACAAGAGCCAAACACCGAATGAAATACCAAATGGCCTGACATCCAGAATCCCTGCTTCATGCAGCTCAAATCAGAGACAGAATGTCAACCAGTAACATTCCCACCAGTGTCAAGGTCCTGTCCAGTTAAAAGCCTGCCCTCCACGCAGTGCAGCCCCTGCTGTGTCTAGACAACAGGACATGGAAATTAAGCAGCAGCACTGACAGACAACATCTAACAGACCTTCTGAGAAAGATATATCTCAGCACACACTGCCAGGTTTGTTCACGAGTTCCGTAGATTCACAGTAGTTAACTAGGCCTCAGGGGATCTGATGGAAGCTAGGGTCCCTGACAGCAGGGTTCAGGCCTCAGCTGACACAGGGTAGTCTGAGACCTGCTGAGCGTAACCTAGCCTCGAGCTGGCACGCTGTACGGCCACCAGGAGCTGCGCTCCTGCACTTCAGCAGGCAGTGTCTGCCACTGAACTGCCTTCTCTGAATCACTGTCCAGCCCTGCTCCCATTCTCCAGAGACCTGGGCTCGGGAGAGCAGGGTCTGACGTCATGGCTCAAGAACGTCCAATTCTGTACTGTTCACAAACCCATCAAAGCGTACCAGGGTTCATCACCAGGAAACAACTTCAAAGAACAAGTTCTAAGTAATTAATTTTTATCTTCTTTCTTTAAGAAGCTGATTTCATGGCAGGACACTACTACCTTTCAGAACCTAAGACCCCATCTGTTTTAAAACCAGGGGACTTTAATAGCCACAAGACTCTAGATTAACAGGCAGTTGTTGAGAATGCACAAGGATCTGGGGTGCCTTTACCCAGTCTCCCATGATTAGCAGTCCCCGCGCGTCTCCCACACAGTACCACGTCCAAACACTGACGCTCACACAGGTAAGGCACAAAACAGCTCCACCCCCAAGCTCCTAACTGGGAAGCTGTCGGCACACACCTAACTTGGCGCACCATGACCAAGTCCCCAGGACCACATAGGACATGTCACAGGAGTCTTACCCTTCAGCCCCTTGGCACCACCTTAGCAAGAAGTGGCTTGGAAAGTTGACAGGTTCCAGCGGGACTCCCAGCTGCCGGGCAATTGTCAGGTACAGCAAAGACATACTGATTGGGATTCCTGTTCTGCGAATCAGGACCTACAGGAGGCAAAATGTTTTCAGTTCACAGAGATGAAAGGTCCTTCTTATTCTTTCAACATACACTCCTGTCTACTGCGCAGCAGACACGATGCAGGGTTGGAGGCTTGGGGAATACTTTGTTTATTTAGATTAGGAACCAATAAACTACACCCCATGAGCCAAATCCAGCTCACTGCTATTTTTTGTTAAAGAATTTATTAATTTAGTCACTTATTTGAAAGGCAGCTAGAGAAAAGGAGAGGTAGAGACAGGGGTGGAAAGATATTCTTCCTGTTGGATTACTTTCCAAATAGCCACAAGAGCCACGGTTGGGCCAGGCCAAAGCCAGGAGCCTGGAGTTTCTTTCAGGTTTCCCACATGAGTCAGGGGTTGAATGACTTGGATCATTTTCTGCTGATTTCCCAGGTGTCCTAGAAGGGAGCTGGACTGGAAGGGGAACAGCCAGGACTTGAACTGGTGCCCATATGGGATGCCGACACTGCAGGCAGTAGCTTAACCTGTTACACCACAGAGATGGCCCAGGCCCACCACTATTTTTTTTTTTACAGCTTGCACAAAGCTTTTTACTCTTCACATGTTTGGAAAAGGAATACTATTTTGTCACATGAAATGAAAATCAGCACGCATACACACAGTGGGCTGGACCAGAGCCAGGCTCCTTTACTGCTTGTGTAACGTCTGTGCATCCTGGCACATTGGAAGGACAGGGAGTTCTGACACCGCCCATGCCCTACTGCGTGGCCCTTCACAGCAAGGATGCCCCACGCCCTATTTGGGCTCTCCTTCCAGAAAGCACTGAAGACCATCTGGAGGAGAAGCCCTTTAGTTATGACACAAGGACATCAAAGTAGCAGAGAGCAAGAGAAACAGAGCCACATGGGAAGCAAAAGTATCCAAAACGCATCAACTTGATGCAGCTGGGTCCCAGCTTGCTTCCCACATGCCAGCAGCAGCCTAAACAGAGCACTGACTGGCCTTAGTAACCACAGGACACGGACAGGCCAACTGAGTCAGAAAACGGCTATTGCTAGTGAGGGACTCATCTCAGGGGACTGCAGACAAAGGACATGCCATGGCGAAACAGTTAAAATTCAGAGAAGCGTCCCTGCAGGAGGGAGAGAAGCGTTTTCACGGAGCACTCAGAGATGGGAAGGCCAGAGCTTGTCCTGAAGACACACACATCCTACCACAGGTGAGCTTACCGAGGCACCACACACAGCTTGCCCTGACTGTCCTCGGGGCACTGGCCACCGGACCTCCCAGGGGCTCAAGGCCCATGGCAGCTCCAGTCCCAACATGCAATGACACAGCAGATACACAGATTCTACCTTGAACCGCCTCGAGATTCCTCACAGTACCTAACATGAGGGGCCCTGTTCTTATACTCTTACTGCTTACACAATAGTGACAAGGAGAAAAGTGCACATGTTCAGTACAGACACAGCTACGGATTTTTCTTCATTGTTCTGGATGTGCAATTGTTGGAAGACATGGACCTGCGACAGGCTGACTGGATTGTCTTGACTGCACCTGTACCCACCTGGTGCATGTATAAGTTCAGGGCATTGTAGTAATCCATGCGATTTCCCTTGAACTTGAGTTGGTCATACAGGACGTAGTTCATGGCATCCAGCACCTGGCTCTGGAGCTCTATTTCCATGATCATGGCAGACTCACCTGAAACACAGAGCACAGACGAGGCATGACCGGCACCCTTAGGAACCCTAACCGCTTTCCCCCATATGAGCAACAGTCTAGTAGCACCCTGGCAGAGTCTGCAGTAGATAAGCAGATAATAGTTTGGTCTCCAATACTGTGGGCACACACATCACAGGAACACACCGCCACACTTCCCAAATGACCCCACTCTAGGTTTTCCTTTCCAAGTAGACCTGGATACAAAGCAATTCCACACCTGCCTTGAAGGCCAAGCTTGGGTGGCGACTGTTGATGCCTCGAAGGGTTTTGCAGACAAGCTCTACGATGCTGTCGATCTGGGCCTGGATGTCCTTGAGGCTGATGTCAGACAGAGGATTGCAGTACTGGTCAATGTACACAGCACCTGAACACAAACAAGGGGTACAGAATAAATTCTGCCTTGTACTTTGTTTGTGCTAGCTTGTTGTTGGACCTTAGACACCCTGGGCTGTAGCTTTCACACCATCGCCTAGAAGCTTCTATCCTGGATGCCAGGCTTTGTGCTAAGACACTCTGGAGCAGGAACATTTTATTAGCAAAGAAGGTTGCACACTTTTTTTTTTTGAATAATCCAAACCGTTTTCACTGGTCATGGACTAAGGCCACGGTGATACACAGCACATTGCTACACCCTACTGCAAAGAGGACAAACAGCACCAAGGAGACCTCGCGGGGTATGTCTCCCTAACTCTCCTACAGACTCCAAATCCAACAGCTCTGAACACCCAGAGACAGATCCTTTACCAAACAAAGCCGAAAGCCCTTGGTGACTGGACATCTCAGCAAAGTGCAGCTCTCCAGGTAAACGGGCTCTGGAGATTCCTTATTGAGACCAGAGAAACAGCTGGGCTTGGAGAGCTGCAGCTCAACACGACAGAGTACAGTGAAGACACTACCTTAAAAACTACCACCCTTGGGCCAAACATTGTAGCATAGCACCATCACACAGGGGCACGCCAGTTTGTGTCCCAGCTGCTCCACTTCTGATCTACCTCCCTGCTTATGGCCTGGGAAAGCAGTAAAGGACTGCCCAGATCCCTGAGCCCCTGCACTCACATGGGAGAACTGCAAGAAGCTTCCAGCATTTTCCTAGCTCAGCCTCTGTAACTCTGCCTTTCAAATAAATAAAATAATTAGTTTTTTAAAAACTATCTTCCTAAAATATATATAACTTCTATTTAAAAAATTGAAAAAAAATTGCATACATAAACTACAGGAAACAGTACAGGAAATAAAGCTTATCAAATGCTCTTAACTCCTAGCCCCAGTGCCTAGGAGGAAGTATGGGTGGTGAGACAGGTATTTTAAGCAATGGAAACAGATTTCCCATCAGTGATGGAAGGCATCAGGCTTTCACACAACCAGCAAGCCCCTGCACTGGCCCTGGGGAATGCAGAGTGAGTACAACACACTGTGTGACTGGTGAGAGAAACACACACAAGACTGTCCACTGCGGAACGGCCCAGCAGTAGCTCAGAGCGGCGTCCCATTCGCAAGCAGTCGGTCAGAGCTGAATGGAGGCGAGATTGGAGCTCAACTCCAGAGGGCAAATGGTTTTCCAATTGGAAGCAATTGAAAGCAGGATTCCACATATGTGGAAGTGAGGCCAGGTGTTTATAGCTCTTCTGTCCAGACCATGGCCTGGAGGAGGAAACAGGGCACTGTGGGACAGACTGGGAAAGGCCTGCAGCTAGGTCAAGAACCACATCTTTGAAGGCACAGAATGGCAGGTGGACATTGTACATGGGGAAGCCATTGTGCATGCTAGAGGCTTCATAGGGAGTTGGGGACAGTCTGGCTGGGGGAGCAGAAGCTCATGAAGATGAAGGCTGCCAGAAGCCACAGCAAGTGGGAGCACGACAGTGGAGCAGGGACAGACCATGAGGTAAATGGGAAGGGAGGAGGAAAAAACCCAATCAGGGAACTCACTGGAGCAGGGAATGAAAGTGAACCAACCATATTTCATCACCATACTTTATGGCAGTGTTTATCTAACATGGTAGGAATTAAAAACAGTTTTTAAAAAATGAAGTCACATCTTGTTCCCATTCATTACTCCTTCCACCTTGCTGTGGGCTGGCATCTCCTGTACTTGCCATCATGAACCACAGGCGCCGAGGCACAGAACACAATGTTCTCATCAGAATCTACCCAGGGGTTAAGAGCTTTGCAATGGTCACACGAACACTCAATTGAAGAGTCAGCTTCTGATGGAGAAATGATGCTGAAAGCTTGCATGAACAGCCGATCCACTTCAGCGGCCCAAACATTACTCCCCACTTTGAACCAGTTATGCATCTTTGAAAAGCACTGTCCCCCTAGCTGACAGCTTAAGACTGACAAAAGCTCTGCTCCACACTTGCCAGCGTTGCCCTCTTCCCTGATGAGAGGGCACAATTTGCTATCAGTCACCCAGGCCCCCAGCTGGCATCTCCACTCTCCACCAGTGGGGACAGTATTCCCCAGGGACTGCTCCTGGAGCCAACTCTTCCACACCTGTGGGAACATTACTGCACATGGGGAAAGACTCACCTTCAAGGTATGACTCATAGTCATCAGGCTGCTGAAGAAAAGCCTTCAGATTGTTTAAAATTTTCTGCTGCCGCAGGTAGTAAAGAATTTTCTTTGCATAGTATTTCCAGGTCAAAGCTTTCCTGCGGAAAACGAACAAGGAGCTAAGAATTCAGATTTTAAAACTCCAACTACCTATCTTTATATAGTCACAGAGGTAGTTCCGAGTGGCATGGCACCTGCCAGCAGGGCAGTGGAGGCCCATGAGCCTTCACACCAGACCATCCCTCAGTCAGCACTGCTCAAATCTGAGTCGTGGGGTCGGGTCTGCTTTCAGGCTGCCTTGCCCAGCCGTTGGCAGAAGGGAAAGAGGGGCATACCAGAGGCGGCTGTACTCACTGAAGGATGCAGCACCCAGAGGCTTACTGCACCCATGGAAGGACCCAGGGCAGCAACCAGAGACTCACTGCACCCACGGAAGGACCCAGGGCAGCACCCAGGGGCTCACTGCACCCATGGCAAGAGCCAGGCAGCAACCAGTTTGGTCTTGGGGCCCGGGTCAGCACCCACAGGCTTGCTGCACCATGCAGCAGCCAGGAGCAGCACCAAGCTTGGCCTCGGAGCCCTGGGCAGCAGCTTTTCTCCCTTACGTGTGCCGCCACTGCAAGCTCTTCTGGGCTCACAATGTCAAGTGCTGTTTGTTCACACTGTTGAAACCAGTTTATTTCCAGGAGCAGAGTTCTCAGAAATCCAGATCTGCACAAAGGCACAGATTCCAAAAAAATTCCATGTAAATAGCATGAGCTGATCTGATGCAAAAGTTCACTTTTCATAATGCACGGAAAGTCTGGTTGTGCAAAAGTTGGATTTTGAAAATGTACCAAAGTAAACCTCTTAATTCCACTTTTCCACAAACACTCCGAAGTGCTGTCATCCACCTGCTACTCCTTACCACCTTTGGACTTCTAGGGGCTCCCGAGACCTGCTGCTGCCCCCAAAACCACCCATTTTAGTAACGAGTCACTGGGACTGGCGTCACATAAAGCCTGCAGTGTCAGCATCCCATCTGAGTGTCAGCTGCAACCCGGCTGCTCTGCTCCTGCCCCAGCTCCTGCTATGCACCGGGGAAAGCAGAGGACAGTCCAGGAGCTTGGGCACCTGCGTCCACGTGGAGGGCCCAAACAAGCCCCGGCTCACAGCTTCAGACCGACCCAGCCCCCTCTGTAACTCTGCGATGCAATCTGGGGTCCGAGCATCAGGCAAGAGCGCATGAGTGTCCCTCATTACCTCTTGTGTACCCCATTTCCAAACAACAAGCCTTTTCCAACAATGAACGCAGTCCACTACAGAAACCAGCATCCCCAAAACACATTCAGTGTCCTACACCCCCCGTCATTCTGCAAGCTCAAAATATATGCCAGCCAAAGTACAGACCACCTACCATACTTCATTCTGAAAAGATTAACAATGTATATTTTCACTGGCTACTACATTTCCAGTCTTTTTTGGGGTCAATCTGTTAAGTAAAAAACACTATTTTACTATTATTTTAGATGCTTTTTAAAATGAAAAACCTGTATCTTTAAAGCTTTTTAAAATTTTACTAATTTGAAAGGCAGGGAGAGAAAACATTTTTACTTATTTGCAAGGCAGAGAGAGAGGATGGGGGAGAAAGATCCTTCACCTACTGGTTCACTTCCCAGACGACTACCAGAGCCAGTCCCATAGAACTTCCTGTTTAACATGATAAAATCATTTACCTATGTTCTTTCGTTGCTTCTGCAATATCAGTCTGAGTTAAGGAGGTTTCCCCTAGAAAGCACAGTGTTATCTTTTTAAGGAATTTTCATGGTAATTGCTTTCGAAAATTTAGTTTAATCCTCTGGGAAATTGCCGTTTTGGTGTATGATAAAAGTTTCATTTCCTCCCAGATGGACACGTGTTTTGTCCAGTACCAGTTATTAATGGAACTTCTTTCACCTCAAGAGCCCAAGTTTCTTTTTATTCTTAGACACATCTCTGAACTGCCCTCTGCTGCTGGTGATCTTATTTTCATTGAAAGGCTATGATGTCTCACTACAAGCAGCTTTATTATATGTTCTAGTATCTCATGGTGATGTTCCCCAGTCTTGATCATTTCAGTTTTTTCCCTGCATCTTCATGGGATTTTACTCTTCTATATTTATCTTATGATTATATCATCCAACTGAAAAAGAAAACTAAGACTCTCTCTGCTTTTCAGGTAAATAAATATTTTTTAAAAGGAAAACATGACATGTGGCTGCTGATTCAGCTCGTTCCCTGGGAAAAGCAGAGGAATATGGTCCAAGTGTCCCCTGCCACCCAGGGAGACGCGGATGGAGCTCCCGGCTTCGCCCTGCTTTAACCCTGGCCCCTGTGCACACCAGGGGAGTGAATCAGCAGATGAAAGCTCTTTCTCTTTCTCCGTCTCACCTCCCCTCTTTCTTTAATTCCAACTTCCAAATAAATCATTAAACAATAAAAAGAAAAAAACAGAGAAAAATAAATCATCAGAAATATTACTTATCACAGTGATGCAATTTGAAAGACAAAGTACCCAGTGGCAGGGGACAGCTGCACGCTATAAAACACGAGGCAGCCATGCACAAAAGTGAATCTGATTTTTCTACCAGCTGACTAGGATGGATTTCAATAGGGTAATGCTGAGTGAGGACAAGAGTGTAGAAAAGTATCCATTAAATGATCTCTTTGTGACATAACGACCTCCTTCCCCCACGCATACCACTATCTATTAGCGTGGAAGAACACGCTCCCTGGGCTGTTACTAGAAATCAGGGAAGTGAACAACGGAGGGAGAAGGGTGGAAGCATAAGCATCAGCCATGCGTGCTGGACCCCATTTCAGCACAGGCAAGGTGGGCTGAAGGCTATGCCTGGGGACCTCGAGGCGCAAGTGCGAGTGGGACACAGGTCGGCTTTTATTCTGAAGGCTGTGTGATACAGAGTCTTAGATCACACCTCAACACATTTATAGGTAAACCAAAATAGAAACGGGAAAATGACCTCCTGATCCGCACTCACCCAAGGCCTGGGATAGTGACACATCTGAGCTCTCCCCCACAGCTGCTCTGCTGGCAGACGGCGCTCCCAAACCCCCTTAAAGACAGCAGGACAGCCTAAGCCTTGCGCTGCCTCATGCTGGCCTCGCCCAGGGAAAAGCCAGACGACTCTGCTTCCCTTCCCTCCCCAGTGAAGTTTCGGAGCCTGCGGGGCACAGAATCTTCCCCACGGGCAGGTTAGGCCGCAAGCCAAGTCATGTTCCAGGTAATCTGGAAATTGATCTTCGCAGTGGAAAACATATGGCATAAGACATTCTAAGCAGCACCGAGGAGATAATGGAGTCTTGCCGGTCAGGAGGGCACCCCAGGACCACAGTGTACTCATCAGGAGATAAAAGGAAGGCGGCCCAGATAAAAGCAAGATCATTGCCTAGCAAAATGCATAAACTGTAAAAAAAAAAAAAAAAATTAAAAGTCCATCACACTGAGACAAGCTTAAGAAATTATTTTCTAAAAATAAAAGCATCAGTTCACAACCAGTGAGGTAGGCAGAGAGGTGATTAAGGGAGAATGTATTATCTGATGACATTAACAGATACTACTAACAAAGCACAGTGTGTAACCCACAGTGGGACCAAGCCTTAATCCCCTTTTCTTTCCAAAAGGATTTTTGCAAGATTTCTTTATGTAGCAAAACATGTTCCAGGGTTTAGCCCCACACAAATCACAATAATTCTTTTTAAGGTTATGATAAAAAACGAGCAAGCAAGCAAGCAAAACCTCCACTCAAGTTAGGCTTACCTTCCTTCCATATTTAGGATGCACACCAGTTCATCCTCAAAAAATATCTCTGGTCCCTCCAGATTCTCAATGTCGCTGAAGCCATTGCAAGGAACCTAAGAGGAAGACACACACACAGGGGCTTCAGGGATGAGGACTCTGCAGCTGTCACTCACACTCATAGGGACAGGGCTCACAGCTCCCCCACACCCTAATACGGTCAGAGATCGTCACTCGTCCACAGTTACGTTTCCACAGACTGGAATGTCTGAAATTGCTAACTCCACATTCTAAGGTGAAGCCCAGTTACTCTGAAACAAGGACAACTGCTCCAAAGCCTCCCCATTGGGGATCACTCTCTCCCACCGCACAGATCCAGCTGCATCCTGCTGAGGGGACCACCAGGGATAAGCCTAGGAGTTGGGCAACTCCTCCAGCCTGCAGGGGATTTAGGCTCTTCAGATTCAACATTCTAAGAGTTGTCCACTTTTCCTTTATGAAAGTGGCCAGGACGGCTCAGGTCAACCTGTGGGCATGCCGAGAACACAGGAGCACACAGCTCCAGAGCCATGCAATCACCCAGGCACAGATCCCATCTGAAGTCCACTCCTGCTGTGTTCAAAGTCCTTGACACACTTCTAATTAAGCAGTGGCGCAGGGAGAGAGCGAGAGCGAAGGAACAAACACAACAATTCATCATGACCAGACAAAGGCAGAGGGGGCTCCAACTGCAGCTGGAACCAGCTTGCCCAGCACAGTGGCCATTACCAAATAGTCGCCATGACCATCTAGCTGGCTGTGGCAAGCCCTGCCAGCACAAGGATGCTCTGTACAAACACACCCTGTCATTTTAGCACTACTGAAAAGAAAACCTCAGGGATCATTTTATTCGAGGGAGTTCTACATCCGAGGTATACAGGGAGCTTTTAATGCTTTGCCACTTTTTACAAATAAGGCAGCTCACTACTGGGTAGATAATTTGCAAAGCCAGAAGAAATCGCACAAGCATCATCCACCCGTCTGGGAAAACAACAGAAAAATCTGAGTGCTCCATCGCAGAGGGATCAGGTGGAGGTTATCAAAACAAGCAGCGAGCTGAAGTCCTGGCGAAGAGAAATCCCAGCGATGTAGACTCGCTGCAGCACCTCCCTCAAGCCCACTCTCTCGGCCCCCCCCCCCCGCGGCTTTTTTAGAAAAGTGAAGCCAGCAGGGACAAATGGCTTCGTGTCGCTGGCTGGGAGGCAAAGGACACAATGACTCTCACAGCGAGCCAGGGAGCTACCCACCAGAGCTGGATGAGCTAATGCCTGCAGGTCCGGACACGGACACACACACACACACAGACACACACACGCACACGCGCATGCACAACCAGGCAGAAGCTGGCTGTCACAGCCACAGCTGCTTACGTGCTCTGAAAAGAACCTCTTCGAGAACGAGGCTACAATCTTGCGGGCTTCTAAGCCAGCTTTCTGCCGAACTTTATATTCCTCCAACCAATTGACGTAGTCGGTAGGGCTGTAGTGTTTCATCAGGGAAGGCCACCTACAAGGAGAAGACAGGGCAACCCCGGCTGCAGAGGCTCCAAGGCAACTGGGGGGACAGCCTTGGGGTCCTGGCTGGGAGGGTGGGGTGCGGATAACACGGGTCCTGGGATGGCTCTAGGTCCAACCTCCCCACCGACTCGCCACGCACTCCCGCTCCCACGCACTCGCCTCACGGAGTGACCTTGGCGTGGCGACACGATGGACGTGTGTGTGTATGTGTGTGCGCGCACGCGCGTGTGTCTCCCCACCCCATCTATAAAATGGGGACATGGTGGTAGCAGCAACAAGGATGACAATGACAGTAAACATGGATGGCGCGCCTCCTTTAGGGGGCCGGCTTGGGGTGCGGGCTTCCCACACGTCGTCTCCTCTGGTGAGAATCACGGTACCCCGATGGTCCAAGGACCTCAGCCCGACCCAGCTGACGCCTGGGCGCACCCCCTTCCCCACCGCCCCAACCCCACCTAAGGTCACACCCGGCACCTCCCCGCACCCCCATACCCACACCCCGAAATCCATGCGCTCCCAAGTCGAGCCGGGGAGGCAACGAGCGCCGGCCCCTGTGTCCCCGTGGTCCCGATGGGCACAAAAGAGGCGCTCAAGGCGCACGAGCCTCAGGAGGCGGCGTCGGCCCTGACCGCGGGGACCCCGCGCCGGGCGCTCCCGGACGCGCCATCTGGGCACCGGGGGCCCCGCGGGGCCGAGACCGGCCGGCCCGAGGCCTTTGTCTGGCGGCCGCGAGCAGGGGCACTGGGGCTGGGGGTCCGCGCGAGCCGAGAGACGAGGCCGGAGTGTCGGGGCGGGCGCGCGGGGCGGTGGGCTCACCTCACCCGGAACTGCTCCTTCCACACCTTCCCGCTGCTCTGGCACAGCTCGCGCAGCCGCCGGCAGGTGCTGGACACGCGGCCGATGTCGGCGGCCGTCAGCGAGCCGCTGCACAGGATGTACTCCAGCACCTCTCCCGGCAGGTTGACGAGGCAGCTGAGGCCCGTGGCCTCGGGCGCGGCCTCCTCAGGCACAGCAGGCACCACCTCCATCGCGCTGTCGACCGCTGCCGCCGCCATCTTGTCCGCGTACCTGGGACTGTCGCGCGCGCACGCGCACCGGGGCGTCCCGCGTCGCCCCGCCCACTCGCCTCGGGGCGGGGCCCTGGGTCGCCCCGCCCACCCCGGCCACACCCCCACCCATTCCCAACTCCCAACTGGGCAGAAACCCCGGAGGCCACAATGGACAATAGGAACGTCCATTTAAAGAAAGAAAGGTTTTTAAAGTTGGCAGGCATGGAAACCGTGTACGTGTTCACGAGTGCTGAGCGCTTTCTGTGCGTGAACTCACTGCATGCTGCCAAAAATCTCCCCAAGCCACAGATGCCCGACTGTGGCCGGGAAGGCCACAACACTCCCAGGGGCCTTTGAGCAAGATTCTAATCCAGTCCACCTGACTTTAGCTGGACTGTGCTCTTAACCACATTATGACAGCAAACTATTCTTTTTAAATTGTTAAAAATTTTTTTTTTTTTACATGTTAGAGAGCAGAATCTTCCATCCTCTGCTTTGGTGCCCAAACACACAGGGGCAGGCCAGGGTAAAGCCAGGAGCCAGGAGCTTCTTCTGGGTCTCCCACATAGGGGCTCAAGCACTTGAGCCATCCTTGGCTGCTTTCTCAGGCCACTATCAGAGAGCTGGATTGGAAGTGGACTAGCTGAGACTTGAACCATTGCCCATATAGGATACCCGTGTCACAGGTGGAAATTTAACCTACTGTGCTACAGCACTGGCCCCACTCATTTATCTCTCAATGTATTTGAAAGGCAGAGAGAGAGTTATTGAGAGATTGGAGAGAGATCTTCCATCGCCCGGTTCACTCCCAAGTGTTCACAACAGCCAGGGCTAAGCCAGGGAATTCATTTCAGGTCTTCCACGTGGGTGGCAGGAAGCCAAGTACTAAAGCCAGGCTGCACATTAGCAGGAAGCTGGCTGAGAATCTGAGCTGGGGACTCAAAACCCCATCCCTCAAATGTAGGACCCAGGTGTCCCAGCAGAGGCTTGAACCTCTGTTCCAAATGCCTGCTCTGGCTAACCATCTTCTCATGGGGCGGTGTGCTCAGTAGCGCCCTCTGCAGTACTGTAAGGGCATGACAATTCCAAGCAGGTGCAGAGAGGTCTGACTGCTCTGAGCGCATTCTCATCTGGCACAATAGGATCTACAGTGGTAACCACCGCACAGTTAAGGAAAAAGAGGTATCTGGCTCCGAGTCAGACAAGACTGCTACAGCCTGGGTCCCCTCTCTCAAAGCGGGAGTGCTGGCGGGTACTCTAGGTGTCTACGCCAGCTTATTATTGTTATTGTTTTTTAAACTCAGTTCAGTGTCACACTCTGTGCTGTATGCCTTGGGAGATACGGAGTGCTTGACCTTCAGGAGTTCAAGGGCCACGTGGGGTTGGAACAATCTGTTGTCAGCTTATGGAGGCTGAAATGTAGTACTCCCCATCCACCACCCTGTGTGGCCCTCAGGATGCCCTGAGAGGGCTGAACTGTGGAAGTTACTTTCCCTGCCAGGCCGTCAGTGGCTCCTAGTGCCCTGGGAAATGAAGCTGAAACTCCTTAAAGTGGTTGCTGGGGGACAACACCCCGGCTTCCTGCACACGCCCGTCAGAAGCTGTTCTCTCCCTCACCACTCCTCTCTCTTGCTTCCCACTTACGGCGCTCTCACACATTCTATTTCCCCCACCTGGAGCCCACTCCAGGGACATCTGATCATACCTTCACTCCCTCTAGGGCTCCGCATCTCCAATACACCCTCCCCTGACCCCCGTCCCACCGGCACCAGTATTTTGTCGTCTTGTTTGCTTGCTTTGTCACTGTGTGTTCAATGTCCATCTTGCCCCACCAGGCTCCTGTCAGCATCACCTGAGTGTCCGGCTAATGGGCATGGTCCCCACATGTGGCCGATTCTCCATGACCACTTGTCACTTATGGCTATCTAAGCTGCCCCATCTGTAGAATGGGAATAACAGAAACTACCTGCTGGGGTTGCTGTGGGGCGGGGGTTAAATATGCACGTCCATGGGAAGTGTGTGGAGCCAAGTGCTTGGAGGAAGTGGGTTCCAGGCAAAGTATGGGATGTGGATGAGTGTCCAGGGTCCCTGCGGGGAGGTCACAGGCTGTGCAGGGGCCTGTGGACTGGGATCCCAGCCCCATTCTCCAGGAGAGTTAGGCCAAGCACAGGAGCCCTTGCAGCCTGGCCTGGGTGACAGTTTGTGATTTAGGAGTCAGGGCAGCCTGGGCAAGTGCCCAGTCTACACTGCAAGCCCCTCTGACTCCTTCTACAATAAGCTCACTCAGCCTTGCTGGGATCTGTTTCCTTGGTCCCCGTTGTGGCCCCAACCCTTATGCCCCGCTTCCACATTGGCCCCAGTAGTACCCAGACTGCAATTTAAAGAAAGAAAAAAAAGCTTCCCAACAGCCCAGCAGTTAGGTGATGGTTAGCCCACAGTTGGGAGGGGACCGGAGACCCCCTTTTCAGAACCACTGCTGCTTTCTGCCCATCAAAGATGACCAAGGAGGGGCTGGGATGGTGCTGCGTTCCAGTAGCCTCTGCCTGCAGCACTGGCTTCCCACGGCAGGGAGCTGGTCTCTGCTAAACTGCCTTGGAAAGCAGCACTGGCTTGGCCCATCCCTAGCCACCTGGGGGAATGAGCCAGAAGGTGGAAGATCTCTCTCTCTCCATTTGTCACTCTGCCTTTCAAATCAAGTGGTCTTAAAATGATGACCAAGACATTGTCCAGAGAAAACAAACTTCTGTCCTCCCAGAATGCCTGGTGCCAAGTCCATGCTCTTGAGGAGGGTGGTAATTTAACCACCACATCAGCGCTTTGTTCTTTTCCAGTTCAGCTGAGGATCGCCCAGAGAACACACTGTGCTGGCCAGCTGCCTGTCGTACAGAGAACTCAGGCCTGCAGGTGGTTACAGCTGGGAACGAGGTGCCCCGACCGACTGAACGCCCACGGTAACAGAGAGTGAGGGACTCCGTCTGCCTTGAGACTTAGATTTCAAGATTTCAAAAGGATGGAGCCCAGACCCTTAGGACAAACAGTCCCATGTTGTAACACTGGCAAGATTTAGTAGGGTTGAGATGTGGTCTAGTCAGCTGATCAAATGCTACTGACCAGAGGAAGGAATGGGGTCCTGATGCCTGCTATACCATGCATGGGCCATGCAGACTGGGTGCCATGAAAAGAAGCCCCCTTGGCATGATGCGGTCTGCTCCCGTGGTCACGAGACATCCACAACAGGCAAAGCGAGGGAGGCAACGTGTTGACTAGAGGTTGTTAGCAGTTGGGAGAGAAGCCCAAGTCATTGTTTAATAGGTACCAAGTTTCTGTTTGGGTGGATAAAGTTCTGGAAGCAGTGTGGATGGTTATATCATGACATAAATTTTTTTAAAAAAATTTTTAAGTGCATATTTGAAAGGCACAGAGACAGAGGCTTGTTTTCATTTGCTGTTTTGTTCACCAAGTGTCCATATTGGCTAAAGTTGGGCCAGACCAAAGCCAGGGGCCTGGAACTCAATCTGGGACTCCTAAAGTGATGGCAAGGACCCAGCTAAGTACTTGAGCCATCAGCCACTGGTTCCCAGCAGAAGGAATCTCAAGTGGAGCTGGAACCTGAACCCAGGTATTCTGATATCCACTGCACCAAACGCTCATCCCTTAAATGAGAGGGGGGGTTTTGCAAAAGAAAGATTACTCAGGATTGTCCAGCGGGTTCAGCATAGTCACAAGAGCCTTTGTAAGAGTAGGGCAGGAGGAGGGGATTAGAGAGTCAATGAGAGCAGAGGTAGCAGTGGAGCTGGGCTGAGAGCCAAGGAATATGGGAAACTTGGAGTGTGGACACTGTTAAAAAAGAAAAAGTTTTACCCCAGAGCTGTCACCACAGGGAAGACACACAGATGTCCGCATTAGCCTTCCTGTGAGGCCACAGCAGGCGAACACAATGAGTGCCGCGAGCATGCTGTCTTACAGCTCCAGAGGCCCCAACTCCCTAGGCAGCCACATCGATTCTTGATTTTGTCCAGCAGGTATGGGCTCCCTGCATTGCCCAGCTCATGGCTACATCCTTCCAGCCCCCATCACAATGATGCAGCATGCCAGGTCAGCCACAGAGACACACAGAGCAGACACACACATCCACACACAACTAGTGTACGGTAATGGTCTATGTGCCAGGAGACTGCTATGGGCACCTGAAGAAAAGGTGTTAGAAGTCAACATTGAGCCATGAAGATGGGATGGGCAGAGTCCAGCAAAGAGGGGTGGGATCCAGGCAGAGGCCATGGCAGAAGCAAAAGTGAGGCAGGAGAAATAAAAACTGTGGTCAGAACCACATGGGAAATGGAAAGGAGATCTGGGCAGAGTAGGGCACTTATAGGAGGCAGAGATGGCTGTTGTGGCTGCAGCATGCTTTGCAAAGAGGTCCAAGGGACTCCCTCTCCCTCTTCCAGTCCCTAGACTTCGCAGATGCCTTTGGAAGAGATGTTTCTGGAAGGGCAATCTGGGGGCAGTGTGTGCTTTCCAAGGAAGGTGTGGTACTTCCTGCCTGCGGGCCAAACAAGCAGTGTTTCCTCCCTTGTCGATTTTGCCCTAACTTTCTGCTATTACCTGCACGTCTAGTGACCTGAAACTTAAAAGGCAACTGGGTCCAGTTGTTGCTCCAACACACTGTGTTCATGCCAGAGTTTAGAGTCGGCCTCTGAGGTGGCACCCCCCCCAACCCCCACACTACCTAGGAGACAAGGCTGGGAAGGAATGAGGAGGATGGACCCAGCACCCTCGATCTGTCAGGAAGGAGCTGAGATTTTGAAAGGGAGCTTCCATCATCAATTCCCTATCACAGTGGTGAGAACAGGGTGCCAGAGAACATGCGGCCCAGAGCCACTCCCCCAAGGTCCAGGAATATCGAGAATTTGGTGGCTTTTTTTGGTTATTTGTTTAATCACTTGACTAATTACTGAGGTCTAACGTCTTCTGTTGCTTGTTGAACTTCATCTTGTCTCTTGGAGGTCATTGCTAAAGTGATTTCC